GTGAAAGACCAAGATGAGAGAGGTCTTTAACCTTGCTGTTGTGCATTGTTCTAAAAGCCTGTGTAGAGGGAAGTAGAAAATGCACACAGTGGTGATCTCCAGCCATTCCCAGTGGTTTCAGCTGGGCTTCCAATACGCGTTCAGCCATTCTTAGACTAATTTGGAAAGCCTCCAAGAGATTGCCCCATTGGATAAGTCTAGAAAATAGAGGGTGTTTTTTTTTTTTCAAATAGATAATTGATAAATGAGAACAAATATGTTAAAAGCTCTAAATGTGTGGTTTAATCTTTATGATGAGATTTTTGGTTGTACACTGGTGTGTCTCAAGATATGGACAAATATCCTGTGCACTTATGATGGTGCTTCTTGTTTAAATAACATTTAAATAGGTAAACTGAGTAGAATAAATTGGCATTTCTGACATTGGTTTGAGATCACCCAATTCCCAGATCAAGAGGGAGTGAAGGAAAGATTGCCTCTCACTGTTCAAAGCTCAGGGAACAGCAAGAAAAAGGGGAATGGAAATGTTACAATATTCAGTGGATTAAGAGAACTACAAAATGCTGCCCTCTGAGTATGAAAAGGCTTTTGTTGACATCAAATAATAGCAGCTGTGGTTACCTGCACAAGGTGAGCACAATATGCCAATTAGAGCACCATGGGGAAGTGATCCTCAAGCCCCCATCTATATCATGGAGCCAGTGGTTGTTAAGGGCTTTGGGAATGTGTGCTCTAGTAGGTTCCTCATTTACTTTATGAGCAATATTATTTGGACTCAGGGGATTATTAACAAGAATAAGTTAATGNAGCCTGTCCTGGAACTAGCTCTTGTAGACCAGGCTGGTCTCGAACTCACTGAGATCCTCCTGCCTCTGCCTCCCGAGTGCTGGGATTAAAGGCGTGCGCCACCACCGCCCAGCCGGCAGAGGGATTTTAAGTCAGAATGGGCATGACGTGACTCCGAACCATGCCCTCAGCAAACTCGCTGTCTCGTCAGACTGCCAGAGCTATAGTAAGACGAGACAGAACATGCTTTGGTGTGTGGCTTCTGTCCTGTACCAAGTCCTATATGGAGCCCTCCTGTAATGAGCCTTAGATAAAGGGTTAGAGATGAAGTTGTATTCAAGTCATAGATACCAAGTAGCAGAGCTTGGAATGAAATTCGGTCTGATTTTTCTGATGCCTGTTGTCTACTTTGTATGTGGTGTTCCTACCCTGAGTACTAAAACTGTAGTTTTGAATTGTTCCAGGGAAGGAGAAATAAATGGGGTAGGAGAGGTCACTTAATGTGGCAGTGATTTTAATAGAGAAGAAGGCAGAAATGTCAGTCAGGTCCGGAGAGCAGTGTAAGGAGGAAGTCTACGTACTCCTTAGATGCTACAGGGGAGAGCAGGCTGGAGAGGAACAAGGGACTGGGTAGGTTTCAGTTGCAATTCACATTTTCCTTCGTATTATCTTTGCAGGGAGGTACTGGCCAGTGAAGCCATTCTCAATGTTCCTGACAAGGCTGACTGGAGGCAGTGTCAGATCAGTAAGGAAGAGGAGGAGACCCTGGCTCGCCGCTTCCGGAAAGACTTTGAACCTTTTGACTTCACTCTGGATGACTAGGCAAAGAGAAGGACACTTTATGAACTTCACAGGAAATTCTTACATCCTCTTTTTAGAATGAAGCTACAGAGTCTCCCGTGGGGGCTGCCTCTCTGCCTCTTTTCCATATTTGCCCATGGAACCTGCCTGCAGCAAGAGGCTTAGGATGGACTTTTTTCTTTTCTTTTTCTTTTTTAAAGAAGTCATTCTGAGATGCAATTGTATGTGAAAAGAATGTCTGCTCCATATTTCTCAGAACAGCTGTGTTTGTCCACATCTTCACAGACTTTTACCCTTTTGAGGTTGGGTGTGGTTGCTCATGCCTGCAATCTCAGAAAGTAAGGAGTTGTGGCGGAAGAATTGTTGTGAACTAAGGCTAGTTTGGCCTACATAGTTCCAAGCCAGTCTGGGCTATGGTGTGTCCCCCGCCCCCTCCCAAAAAAGCAAAAATAACCTTCCCCAAATCTTTTAAGTGATACAAAGGGAATGCTTTTTTAACAAATTGTTGAAATAAGGAGCGGCGGGGCTGCGTCCCCAACACCCCAGCCTCTTGGCTAGCTCATGCCCGAAATAACAACACACAAACTGTATTCATTTAAAGAACTGCTTGGCCCATGAACTCTAGCCCTTACAGGCTAATTCTTGCACCTGGACTAGCCCATTTCTAATGATGTGTGTAAGCACCCCAAGGTGCGCTTACCGGGAAGATTCTAGCCTCCGTCCATCGTGGATCTGAGCTTCATGCGTCTGCCTCAGAGTGCAGAGCTATCGCGTCTACCCGGGAGAGCTGAGCATGGCGTCTCTGCTCCAGCAGAGCTGTTGAGTCTCTCCGGGAGCAGAGCAGAGTCTGACCTCACTTCCTCTTCCGCCCAGAATTCTATTCTGTTTACTCCTCCCATCTATGTTCCAAGCCATGAGGCCAAGCAGCTGGTTTATTATAACTTAACCAATGAAATCAACAGATTGATATATGACACTCCCACATCAACAAATGTCTTATGTTGCTTATCACCCTGAAGTGAAATTCTGTGTGTGTGTAATGGAGACCAGAGCTTTATGCCTAGCAGTTATCCCGGAACAGCACAGGCAGCTCAGTCTGTGTGGGGCAGAGAAAACTGTGGCCTTCCTTTGCTGTTGCTTTCTCAAGGTATCGCCTTTAAATAAGAGAATCCATCTCTCAGATATTTAACTCGGATATGCTGGGAATTTTTCTAAGTTCCAAGAGTCAGTGAATGTCCCAGCATGGTACTGATTTGTTTATGGTCTAATTGGGAAAGGAAGTGGCAGATTTAAGAAAATGAGTTTTTCTTTGAATGTGTTTTGGGTGTTTAACATACCTGAGTTACCCAATAGATGTGCCCAGATTGCCATTAGGTACTTGTGAAACTCAAGAAGATCGGGGTTGGTGACAGGACTTTAAATGCATCTTAGGTGTTTATGATAGCTGAGTTATCTAACAGATGTGTCCAGAGTGCTGTTAGATACATCTCAGACTCACTAGTGATAGGGCTTTAGGGATCATCAGGGCATAGACCATGGTGAAATTACAAATAAAATAGGGCCAGTACAGTCAGTCCCATTCTCCAGATGTTTAAGGACCAGTGGTGCAGTGAAAAGCAGTTCCGTGGAGCAGGAACAGTGTGGCCACGGGAGAATGCTGCAGATCTGAAGCCAGAAGAAAATAATTGTTCTTCTTTAGTGGCCACTTAAGGCCCAGATACACTTTCACTGAGTTCTCACAAAAATTTCTTGACCTCCATTTCACATATTAAAAAACAAAACAACATTGAAAAACAAACCAGTCTTGGAAACCTGAAGATTGTGAAGCCTGGGATAAACCATTCTACAATTACAAATAATAAAAGGTCCGGTCTTTACTCTTAGCACTCAGCAGGCAGATTTCTGTGAGTTTGAGGTCTGAGCTACATAGTGAGTTCCAGGTCAGACATGGCTATATAGACCCTGTCTCAAAAAAAAAAAAAAAAATTCAACAAACTTTGAGTTGTGTTTTAAGAATAGAATATTTAAAAAGTGAAATAACTGTAGGAACCAACTTGGGTCGCCTGGTTAACACTATCCTGGCTATAGTTTTTAGTATCTCATAATAAAATTAGGACCCTCCTGTGGAGACTGGACACTCCTAGCGGTCATACACAGCAAACGAGGGTTCACGCTGATACGTGACAGTCTGCTCTAAGGGAGGCGTTCTCGGAGGCTCATTTGCTATCGCCTTTAAGCCTGATACTCCAATTCCATGGGATCCATGAAAATAATAGAACCAACTAACGGGGGAACACCACTCACCACCAGTGTCCACAACACTGACTTGTATACACACACTGGGAATTTGATTCTGTGCTGAGTTATTAGCATTCCAGCCTGGTGGAGTGTCACAAGCCTGAATTAGGTGGAGTTCTAGACCAGCCTGGACTATATGAGACCTGTCTCAAAACAAACCTCGGTTCCAAGAGGCAGATAACCCACTCAAATGGAAAGACGGGGAAATTTTTCCTGTGCAATCTACCACTCAGAAGTATGCCTTATTGGAACAAGGGCTCCCCCAAACTTGTCTTTGCAACCCTGTAGGGCACCTCAGAAACAATTCCAAAATAGAACCATTGCGTTGGCAAGTCTGAAACAAAAGTTGAGAAGTAGCAAGATACGCAAGGTCCGAAGGGAAACTCACAAGCCTGGAAAAAAAAAAAAAAGTCTTAACTCTGGAATAATATCATATCCTTGGGTGCTTTGGGATTATAGGAGAGATTCTGAGCGGACGTGCAGGAGAACACAGTGCATCTGAAGACTAATGAATCAATGGGCTGGTTAGCGCTGTTTTCTTTCAGGCTTATGGTGGCCGTTATGGTGGTAGGGTTCCAGGGGCAGAGGGCAGGGCTCTGAAAAAGACGAAATGTTGATGGGGTGAGGACAAACACAAAGTTTTGGGTGAGAAACCTTCAAAGAACTCATTTAATTACAAACATACAGACACACAAAACAAAAATCCCACAAACGAAGGCTCTTTCAGTCTGGAAGACGCCCAGGGTACTTAAAAGAGCACAGTGCAACCCGCCCGTGCCCGGCCCATTTGCCAGCACCAATCCCAGGAGAGGGGAAGTGTTCTCAGAGTCTCTTTTGCTGTATTACCTTCAATTCTGATATTCTAATTCCATGGGATACATGAAAATAATAGAACCAACTAACGGAATACCACTCGTCATCAGTGATCCGCAACATCGACTTGCGTACAGACATTGAGAATTTGACTCTATGCTGAGTCTTACACTCTTGAGTTACTAGCCTCCCCATCTGCTGGAGTGCTGCAAGCCTTAATCAGTTCAATTGGAGAAGGCCGGGGCGGGACTTTTTCTGCGGAAATATCGGAAGTGACGCGTAGATCTCGCGAGAAACCGGACGCGCGAGCCTCGGCAGCCCGGAACCGGCCTTGGACCGGCGGCGAAGTCTGAGGCGGCTGGCGCTCCCGCCCCATGGAGCGGCCCCCGGGGCTGCGGCCGGGCGCGGGCGGCCCCTGGGAGATGCGGGAGCGGCTTGGCACCGGCGGCTTCGGGAACGTCTGTCTGTACCAGCACCGGGTGAGGCGGGGGCGGGAGCAGTGGCGCTGGGTCTGGCTGGGCGTCCCTGGGACACCAGCTGTCAGTCAGGGTGGCAGAGGTGTGGTTGTGCTGGGCAGTGCCGGGGGCCGGTGAACGAGTGCGAGTGAGACCGCTTGTGAGCCTGTGCCAGGCGAGTCTCAGGTCCCCGGACAGTGAGTGAAATGAAGCTGTTGCAATTGTCGAGTGTGTGTGTGTCTGTGTCTGTGGTGATGAGGGGTATGTATGAACGTCCAGTGTGTGTGTGTCTGTGGTGACGAGGGGTATGTATGAATGTCGAGTGTGTGTGTGTGTGTATCTGTGGTGACGAGGGGTATGTATGAACGTCCTGTGTGTGTGTGTGTGTGTGTGTGTGTGTGTGTGTGTGTAGTGACGAGGAGTATGTATGAACGTCGAGTGTGTGTGTTGATGAGGGGTATGTATGAATGTCGAGTGTCAGTGTGTGTGTAAACAAGGAAGGTCCTTCCTGGTGTCCGGAGTTGAACCTTTGGAAACATTGGCAGACTTGGGTATTGGAGCATTCCAGGCAAGGAACAGTGTGAGGGGAAGGTGGTGAAAATGACCTGTGCTTCAAAGGGAAAGAAGTAGACACAGGGGTTTGTTCTGGGGAAGACAGTTAAGATCGGCCTGGGAAAATGTTTAACCATTGCAACAGCAGTTACTCACACTCTTTAAAGGGTTGTGAACTAACGGTCGCCTTGCTTATTTTAATGTTGGTGGGAGGAGTAGAACACAGGGCCTTGCACGTGCTAGGCAAATGTTCTGCCACTGGGTTACACCCTCAGCCCCAGGTAATCATGTTTGAGTCGTGGGTCTTTTGATAATTCAGTAAAAACTGTGGATCTTATCTCCAGAAAATTAATACCCGTATAAACCAGTGCATCACCCTTGAGGGTTTGGCTTTCCTGAAGAATGCGGTGAGGTGTAGATTTTGAGCAAATTATCATTGGTCTGGAAACTCTGCAGAAGGCTGTATCTCCAACCTAGTCCTGTGTGAGAGTTAACACACACTATCACTAGTGAATTTGAGGCCAGCCTGAGTGGGCTTAATATTGTGGTCAAGGGCAGCCTGAGTTATGTAGACAGAGACTGTCTCGGAAGTAAACATAAGCTCAGTGTAATACCCTGCACACTGAAAGTCCTAGCAGTGTGGGCAGCCAGAGAACTTTCCCTAGTGGATAGGGTAGAACTTCTCAAAGGGTGTTTGAAAAACCGAGTTCCACGGAATACTTTAGAGAAAGAATGTAGAAGCCAGGCATGATGGGAACACTTGGGAAACTGAGTTAGGAGGATTGCCTTCAGTTTAAAGCCACCATGGGCCACAGAGAGACCTTTTGTTTAGTGTGTATATGGGATGGTGATGCAACTCAGTGGCAAAGTACATGCCCAAGGTCCTGGGTTCTGTCCTCAGCACTACGGGTTCAGCCTGCCACACACTGAACAGGGAATAATAGGGTTGAATAAGACTTAGGACTGCAGGGATTGCATCTACTAAACATATCCAGAGGGTACATGTAGGTTATGGGCAGATACTGTGTGATTTGATGTCATGGACTTGAGCATCTACAGATTTCAGCATCCTCTCGAGGTCCTAGAAGCCATCATCTGCTTTCTGAGGGGCAACTTCAGTACGCTCAAATACATTGGGTAAATGCTTGAGAATCCTAATTCAAATTAGGAATCCAATTTAAAAGCTCTAAAAAGTAAAGAAATTATCTTAGTGTTTTCAGACTTTCTTCCTGCCTCTGTCTTCCAAATAACAGGAACTATAGACTCATATTACCACACACAAGTTAGTCTCATTTTTTAAAAAATGGGCCTTTTTGTTGTTATGCAACTGTAAACTTCCCAGAGAATATTTTCTATGAGAAGACTGACTTTCACAGAGTAAAATATAAACCAAGGTGTTTTTAGATCTCTTGTGGTTGGGACCTATTTAAAGTAGATAACTTCCTGTCTTAGAATTTAGGGCTTATTATCTTAGCTGTGCTGGGGTCTCCGTGGTGGTAGTCGAATCATATAGGATGTGACTCCTGTCAGATCCCTATTTGCTTATAACGAGAGCTGGAAGGAGTGAGCACTGTGGCAAAGCCAGCTCTTAGTCTCTCTTAGCCCCCAACCCCTGCCCTAGGGACTGTCTGGCCTTTAGCCTTCTTCCTCCTCTTGGTTCCTAATTCAGACTATCCTGTCTAATCTGTCTTGCTCCCCGCTTCCCCTTTCAGCCCTTGGGTCCTGCTCTTACCACTCATACAGTTTTTACCACACCTTTGGCTTGTAGCAGAAATGTCACATGTGTTACGCTCTTTTGAACTCTTTCTGTTTTCTTCAAGATTTATTTATTTATTATGTATACAGTGTTCTGCCTATGTGTCTGACCGCAGGCCAGAAGAGGGCATCAGATCTCAATATGGATGTAATCATGTAATTGGGAAATGAACTCAGGACCTCTGGAAGAGCAGCCAGTGCTCTTAACCTCTGAGCCATCGTTCCAGCCCCTCTTTTGTGCTCTTAATGCATTATAGCCTGCTTGGTTCTGACTGTGTTATTAGTGTCAGAATATTATGACTATTTCCTGAAATGGGCATAGGATAGTTTTTTTTTTTTTTCAGCCAGAATTGGTGAAATTACTAATCACAGGCAAGAGGTCTTAGGTTTATATTAGGATACTTGAACAGCAGTACACTTGTTTGGATGCTTTTCCAGGTCATTTGAAATGCAAAGATTAGGATCTAGTTTTGGAGAGTTTTGTTTGTTTTTGTTTTGCATTAGGCTTGGTCATATGAAAACTATTTCTTGCTTTGAGGTTAGGGAGCCCTGAATTATTTTCTTTCTGGATACACTAGAATTTGGGGCCCTTATTTCTTGTCTTGACTAAGCATGGAGAAGAAACTTGTTGGAGAAATGGGGTCTTTGTCTATTTCTAGTAGTATGTAGTTCTAAATCACTAGCATACGCAGTCTTCTGAAGAGACCGTTGGAGCGTCCTTCTCAGTTTTTGCTTGTATACCATGGTGTATTTGACAGCTTCAAATCGTTGGTTTAATAGTATTATGGTTCATGTAACTAATGTTGACTAAAGTGGGCCGTGGATGATATGTGTAATTAGTAAGGCTAAAAAGAGTGTTTATTTTCCTGTGTTGACATTTCTTTGATTGTAAGTAAATCTGTACAAGAACATAATTTATTCATATTTTCTATTAATTTTTTATTTTGACAGGAACTTGATATCAAAATAGCAATTAAGTCTTGTCGCCTGGAGTTAAGTACCAAAAACAGAGAACGCTGGTGCCATGAAATCCACATGATGAAGAAGTAAGTATGTGCTGTGACTTCGAATGCTTTGGGTCTATAGCCCAGCCAATTTCAATAGAAGGGAAGGAGACCAGGGTCCACTTTTCTCAAGCTCTTTTTGGTAATATCATTTTGTCTTGAATATATGTGATCTACTTTAGGTAGTTTTATTACATTATGGCTAAAAGAGTTACAGTTTAAATCAGCTAGACAACATTCTCAACCTGGCTCTTTAAGTCTTTCTTCTGAATATTGAGCAACTTTATGACTAGTATATACGTCTTCATTTCTTTTTGTACTTAACTTTTATTAAATGATGAGTCTATTGTTTTTTAGACAATTATTCCAAAATTTCATAGCTCAAGCTGAATATTTAATATCTATAGTTTATGGCTGAGTTAACTGTGCTTCTAGTTCAAGGCCTCTTCTGAGACATCTCAAAATGTTGACTTTAGAGCTGCCATTATCTGAAGGGTTGGCCAAGGCGTGAGTATTAACTTCCAGGCTCATTCACACAACTATAGGCCAGAGGCAATAGTTCTTCAGTAAGGGAGCCTCTCCACAGGGAAGTGCACATGCTTTAATGGCATGGCAACAGGCTTCCTCCGAACAATTATCTGAATGGGGGAGTATAAGAAAAAAGCTGATATATCTCTTCTGAAGATTTAAGGCAATTTTAAATAAAATATAAAGTCATATTTCATTTTTTTCCCCACTGAATTTTGTTAGAAATGAGTCACTAAGAATAGTGTATATGCTTAAGGAGAAGAGACTTGAACTTTTGAGGGGACCGTGATATATTTAGTGTGCTTACGTGAGTAGCGTAGTTTACGTTACAGGTCTTTCCTGGAGTTGTCATCACAACTCTGTATCTGTGCAGTGCCCTATTCTGTAGATGAGAAATAAAACAGTCATACAGCTGGTACTGGATTTGAAACGAGCATTTTTTGAGTTTAGTTTGTGCTCAACTCATTCTATTTTGGCTTTCAAACTTGGCTACATGGCAGAATTAACAGGAAGATTTAATAATATAAATTCTTAGACCCTCATGCACTTGTCTCTTTAGTTCCTGGGATATGAGATTCTATAATTTCAGGCTCTGTTACACTGTGAGGATGATCACAGAGATGATAATAGATTGTTATGTTAAAAAAAAAAAAAGAACTATGGGGCTGGAGAGAGAGGTAAACTGTTAAGTGTACTTACTGCTCTTTTGGAAGATCCAAGCTCAGTTTCCAGCCCCCACGCAGTGGCTCATACCTGTCTTTAACTCAATTTCCAGGGAATTCAATGCCCTCTTCTGACCTTCAAAAAAAAAAAAAATTAAGAGCGGTTGAAGTTAGTAAATAATTTGAGTCATACTTATTGAAAAAAACTATATTTGTATATATTTGTATTTATATTTAAAATTGGAAGGAAATGCCCAGAGTTTTAGGGTGATGATTGTGATTGTGGAAGAGGCAGTGTGATGTAGGCTTTGGTACCAAATTGTCCGGTTTATGTCATCATTGACAGCCTGCTTGCCATGTGGTGTTACGTTACCTCTGTGTGCTTCATTTTTCTCATGGATGATACTCTTAACAGATACACTTGTGTTAACATTATTGTGACAAGTCAGTTGACACATGTAAAGAGCGTACTGCTTGGCACACAGAACTATAGTAGCAGTGATGGTATTTTTAGGTATATTTTCCTTGTAAAACTTGTTTATTTTAATTAGAAAATTCAGAAATTAATAGCTTATTAGTCTTTTAGCTAAGATTAAATGCAGTACAATCAGAATTAGAATTTTGTAAAGAAAATCAATCTTTTCTCACTAGTTAATCCCCAATTATCATTTCAAATTCAGCCCTTGGAAAACTTTTTTTATTGTAATTTTTTTCCTTGTTAGGTTGGACCATCCAAATATCGTAAAGGCCTGCGATGTTCCTGAGGAACTGAATTTTTTAATTAATGATGTGCCTCTTCTGGCAATGGAGTACTGTTCTGGAGGAGATCTCCGGAAGGTAGTATGGATGTTTCGAGATACTGAGATAGTAAATCACAAGCTTCAACTGTGTCTGAATCATGTGACACGATCATCGAGAACAAGGACAGACAACTATAATCCTGCCGCCTGTTCTGTAAACACACTTTTATTGGAGCAGGCGCTGTGCATGTTTATGCTGCTTTTGCACAGCTCTAGAACTGAGTAGTGTAACAGAGATTATATGGCTTCCATAGCTTGAAGTACTTAATGTTTGCTCTTTACAGGAAATATTTGCTAGCCCTGTCTTAGTGCTTTCTATTGCTGTGATTAAGACCACAACCAAACACATCCTGGTCAAATAAGAGCTTATATGTATCCTAATCACAATCAATCATTGAGGGAAACCAAGGCTTGGATAAAGTGGAAACCCAGAAGGAACACTGCTATTGGCTTACTCTTCATGACTTGCTCAGTCTGCTTTCTTATACAACCCCGTGATCTGGGCCCTGCCACATCAGTTAATCAAAAAAATGTCCCATAGACATGCCTACTGACCAGTCTGATGGAGGCATTGTCTCATTTGAGGTTTCCTTCTTCCAGATGACTCTAGCTTCTGTCAAGTTTGAAAAAAAAAAAAACAAAAAAACAAAAAAAACCCCACAAAAACTATAGTCATTCCAAACACCCTAGGTTTATTGTTGTTTGTTTTCAAGACAGGGTCTCACTGTGCACCCCTGGCTGGCCTAAAATTTGTTTTGTAGACTAGGCTAGTCTTGAGAGCTGCCTGCTTCTGCCTGTAAGTGCTGTGATTAAAAGCTTGTGCCACCATGCCTAGCTTAGAACATGCTTTTTTGTTGTTGTTTCCAAGGTGGGACTATGTTGACCATTTTAAATAAAAATGCATTTGTGAGACCTATTAAAAAGTTGTCTTTTACCAGGTACTGTTGGTGTATGCCTTTAATCCTAGCACTTGGAAGGCAGAGTCAAGCTGATCTCTGTGAGTTTGAGACCAGCCTGATCTCTAGAGCTAGTTCCAGGACAGTCAAGGCTACACAAAAAGAAAGCAATAACGAAAGGGTTGTTTTTTATATTATTATTATTATTTCTATTTAATTTTAGATGTATCTGTCTTTGCCAACATTTTTTAATTTCAAGTGCAGTTGCCCTTCTCTTTACTTTTTATGAGCCTTCTCATGAAATTTACTCAGCCTCAGTATGGATTTGGTGACTATTTTTTTCCCTATATTTCATGTCATTGTTACTATTTTTTTGAAACAGACTCTTTCAGTGTAGCTCATGTTGGCCTTGAACTCATGGTGCTCCTGCCTCATCTTCCCAAATGCTGGCCTTATAGACATGTACCACTGTGCCCCAATCCTTTTATTTTATTTTACTTTATTTAAAACAGGGCTTCTTTGTAGTTTTGGAGCCTATCCTGGAACTTTCTCTGTAGACCAGGCTGGCCTCGAACTCACAGAGATCTACCAGAGTTCTGGGATTAAAGGCATGTGCCACCACCCTCCTTCTTATAATTTCTTTATTGTGACTTTTTTTATTTGAGTATTCTTTGACAGTATAGCAATTAATGTGTGTTGCCATTGTTACCTGCTTGTTTGTTTATGTTTTTCTTTAGCTACTCAACAAACCAGAAAATTGTTGTGGACTTAAAGAAAGCCAGATACTTTCTTTACTGAGTGACATAGGTATGTAATTAATATTAAAATATCATTGTGATTTAATTGATGTGTACTGCTTAGAAGTTAAGGAGAATTGTCTGTATTTTCTACGAAGCATGTACGTTTTTAACATTTATAAAAAATTAGAGAAAAAAAAGCTGGGTGGTGGTAGTGCATGCCTTTACTCACTAACTCGGGAGGCAGAAGCAGGTGGATCTCTGAGTTTAAGGCCAGCATGGTCTACAGAGTGAGTTCTAAGACAGCCAGAACTACACAGGGAGACCCTATCTCTAAAGACCAAAAGAGAAATAAAAAAAAGAATATGAAAAAGAAAGATCCATTTCCAGTGATGTTAATTAAAACTAATACATTTTTGGCATTTGTTTCCATTTGGATTTTTTTTTGACTATGTAACCTTATCTAATAGATGTTTGATAACAAAAAAATGGTATGAACTAGCAATCATTTCATCTCTCCCCCCCCCCCCCCAATGCTCTGATAGTAGTTTTGTTCATAGTGGAATTAATCTTTTGGGGAAAGGTCCTTAAGTTATCTTGGAATGAAATTCTCTTTTTTATCAGAATTACTACTGATAGTCCCTAACATAATTATGATTTAGACCTTTGGGAAACCTTGGAAGCCAGACAGGAGTTTCCATGTGTGTCTGCTGTTGATGCTTGTCAGACACGTGTGAGTTTCCATGTGTGTAGTATTGATGGTCTTCACAGGTAATAGGCAGCAGAGTCTAAGAATGTGATTTAGGTTGGAGGACAGGCTTACAGGTGGTTTCTCGAAAACTAATTGTTTCATTTGCATTTAATATTGATTTCAATAAATTAAATGAGTTTATATTAAAATTTTCAGTGTTTATTTGATGTTACTGAACATTTGGTGAAGAAAATCTGAACTAGGGCTGGAGAGATGGCTCAGAGGTTAAGAGCATTGTCTGCTCTTCCAAAGGTCCTGAGTTCAATTCCCAGTAACCACATGGTGGCTCACAACCATCTGTAATAGGGTCTGGTGCCCTCTTCTGGCCTGCAGGCATACACACAGACAGAACACTGTATACATAATAAATAAATATTTAAAAAAAAAAGAAAATCTGAACTATTCTAATGTTGGTGATGCCTCATATTAATGTGTGTGGGAGTGTGTGTTGTTGTATGTAGTACATGGATGTGATTGTTGGTGTACACTCACCGGAGCATGCATGTGGAAGCTGGAATAGCATGTTAGGTGTTCTGTTTTTCTCCATTTGATTATTTTGAGACAGAATCTCTGACTGAACTGGAAGCTCAACATTTCGACTAGGCTGGCTGCCTAGCCAGCTGCTGAGATATCCCTACCCCACCTCTCAGTGGCTCCCTTTTACCCACTGAGCCATCTTCAATCCTCTGGACATATAAATTTGCGTATCAGTGTAGATCTATGCAAACTGTAAGGTAAAAATTGAATGTGGCTGGTCATGGTGACACCCACCTTTAATTCTGACACTAGGGAGGAGAGGCAGATGGATCTCTGTGAGTTCAAGACCAGCAGGCCAACCAGGGCTACATAGTGAGACCCTGTCTAGAAAATGCTGAATGTGCTGGTGCATACTTGCAATCCCAGCACTTGGGAGGTAGGACAAGAGGATTAGGAGTTGGAGGTCATCTTCAGCTACATAGGGTATTCTATGCCAGACAAGGCTACATGAGACTCTGTCTCAAAAACACTAACAGTAAAAACAAACAAACAAAAAATATGAGGTGATTATCTAAACAGTATTTTCTGTTACTTAATAATACACTTGAAATTTTATTTAGGATCTGGGATTCGATATTTGCATGAAAACAAAATTATACATCGAGATCTAAAACCTGAAAATATAGTTCTTCAAGATGTTGGTGGGAAGGTAGGTGAAACCTTAAGACTGCTTCATGTCTGTTGTTATACTCTTCCTGATAATTCTTTAGAGATTTTAGTTTCCTTATTCATCTGGTATACATAGTATTTTATAAAGTTTCTATTGCAGTCCTCACTGTATTGGATTATAGGGGCCTTTTAATTTTAAACTTCTATTATATTTTATGTGTTTCTTTACCACATGTGGTACTTGTGGAGGACACAAGAAGAGGGCATCAAATTCCCTGGGACTAGAATTGCACACTATTGTGAGCCACTGTGTGGGTGCTTAGAATTGAACGTAGGTCCTCTACAAGAACAGCAGGTACTCTTAACTGCTTAACCAACTCTCCAACCCTTGAACTGTAATTTTGTGGTTAGATTTTTGTCATCTCTATGGAACAGTGGTTCCTTAGAGAAGCATCTGTCTTGCTCATCTAAGGACTAGGATGTTGATCTAATTGTGTAGGAAACTGCCAGAGACTAGTTAGCTTGATCAAGATTATATGGTTAGCCAGGCATATTACCTGACGTCTATAATCCCAGCTTTTGGAAAGTTGTGGCAGGAAGTTGCTATAAGTTTGACCCTGTCTCAAAAATTAATAACAACAACAATAACAAAAGATTGACAAACAAAATTAATGCAAATTAAATAGTGATCAGGCTATCAGACTTCACTCTTTTGTGTTGTTCCATAGCCCAGGTTTTTTTTACTATCTCCTCCCCAGTTTTATAAAAACATTATTGCCTTTCTTTTTTGAATTACATCTATTTTATTTATTTGTTTTGTGTGCATGAATGCATGCCTATGGTGTGACCTGTGTGCAGATCATGAGACAATCAATGTAGCAGGATTTGTTCTCCCATGTGAAATTCAAGTCATCAGGCTTTCTGACAGGTGCCTTTATCAGCTGAGCCATTTCAGTGGCCATATCTTCATTTTTTGCTGTGCTTAGGATCGAGCCCGTACCTACCTGGGAGCAATCTGTCACTAAGCTACATTCCCAGCCTACCTTTCTTTTGCAAATATTTCAATAATTTAATAAATATTATGTCTTAATATTCACAGATATTACATAAAATAATTGATTTGGGTTATGCCAAAGATGTTGATCAAGGAAGTCTCTGTACATCTTTTGTGGGAACATTACAGTATTTGGTGAGACAATATTTCTTTTATTTGATTACTTAAAATTTTCATTGTTATTTTTTAAGGCAATGAATTTAATAGTTCAAAACTATAGTAGCTCTTTTCTTACAGTGTTGGCACTTAACATTCCTTTCTATTTTAAGGCTCCAGAGCTCTTTGAAAATAAGCCATACACAGCCACTGTGGATTATTGGAGCTTTGGGACCATGGTATTTGAATGTATTGCTGGATATAGGCCTTTTTTGCATCATCTGCAGCCATTTACCTGGTAAGAAATGATGAGAACTTTGGCATAATTAGTGGTAATAGGAAAATTTCTATTGTTTCTATTGTTCTGTTGTTTCCTTTTCTTTTTCTATAGTGGTAAAATTTAACAGAATTGATTGAAGTTAAATGGTAAGAAACCAGAGAGTATTTGTGAGAATCAGGTTGTCAACTAAGCTGCTTTGTTTTTATAGGCATGAAAAGATTAAGAAGAAAGATCCAAAGTGTATATTTGCTTGTGAAGAGATGACAGGAGACGTTCGGTTTAGTAGCCATTTACCTCAACCAAACAACCTTTGTAGGTGAGTGTGGACAGTTTACCTCAACCAAACAACCTTTGTAGGTGAGTGTGGACAGTTAGGCAGTTTTGAGATAGTTATCTGTTTCAGGTAGCATTATCCAATAGACCTTTGCATCAAGATGAAAGCATTGTCTGTCTGTCACTTGAGGCTTATTGAACTAGCTATGTGAAAGGTAGTTAGGGGTGGAGATGTGGCTCAGTAGTACAGTGCTTGCTTAGCATGCTTGCTGGCTTGCTTCCCAGTGCTGCCTGGGTTGGAAGAGGAGAGTGGTTAGTGTGACTGAGGAACTGAATTTTGAATGAGAGTAAATTTAAATAACACTGTGATTAGTGATTATCATATTGGATAACAGACGATGTGGAACTGAAAACTATTGCCAATCAATGAATTGCTTTAGATGCTAAGAAAACCCAAAGAATAAAGAAGTAAATGGCTTTCCTGGAGATTGGAGTTGGACTCATCTTTTGGATTTGCCAGTTGCAAAGTGATACGGGGATTTGGGACTGTTTTTTTATGGAAGAAATTTGTTCCTTGTCATTACATGAATTATTTGAAAGTAAGATATAAATGGTACTGATAAGTCATAGGCAAGGAAGTGGACAACCTGTGAAGTTGCCTGTTTAATTGGAACATAATGATATTCATACAGTTTTTGTTCATTTTTCAGTTTAATAGTAGAGCCCATGGAAAGCTGGCTACAGTTGATGCTGAATTGGGACCCACAGCAGAGAGGGGGACCTATTGAAACTACTTCGAAGCAGCCAAAATGTTTTGTGTTAATGGATCACATTCTCAACTTAAAGGTCAGTTTTAATGGGGTGCGTTTTAGAATACCTGCACTGACTTTAGCCAGCTGAAAATGAGCACTTTAGCAAGCTGAAAATGAGCACTTATGTTTATTGTAGGAATCTTTTCCTGGTGTCTATTTTAAAATGAACATTATATCCTTAGAATGGATACTTTATTTCTTTAGCCAAGTTTTTCAGGTGTCATCAGATGGTCCAAGTAGCCTTTTAAAGTATCTTTGGGATTTCCCTTTACTATATTGATTGGTGCCATTACCACTTCCCTCATTTAGATTTAATTGTACTGGGTTTGACTTGGTGAGGAAGGCTCCCACTTGGCTCACATCTGTTTACTTTGCTGCTGGAAGGCCAGCTTTCAGCAGGTCAGAGAAACTGGGGAGGATGTGTGGTGTCAGCAGAACTGCATCCACACAAAGGCGACCTTTTCCTGAAGGCCAAAGCTTAATTCTTCATTTCATTTTTCTCTCTGCTGTTGTTCCTACTCTGTTCCTTTTCTGTTCTGTTCTTTTACCATACTGTTTTCCTTCTACTATTCTTATTTTTATTTTACCCCTTTTATACCTCCTAAGACAAAAATTTCTATGCAAGAAAAGATTACCTCACAACCACAAGTTACATATTTTCCAAAAACAAATTAAAATCTTTACACAGGAAGAAATCACATTATGATCAAAAGTTGCATGTTTTTCTTAGAATCCCACAAATAGTTTAACATTTTTATTTGTATTAATTTTTTCATAATATCTTCACTCCAAAGCAATGATTCATTTGTAATTGATTAACAACTTTCAAGCAAGCCAAGCATATTTCAGCCAGTTCCTTTTGTATCGGCAGGCAGCCCTTTGCTGTTTCGGTGTAATAGGTTCCTATCCTATTTCTACTCTACAGAGCTTTAAACAAGTGATCTAGGTAACCATTTATCTTTATTTACACACTATAAGGTTATTTAATTTTGTTTTACAACTTTGCTTTTTCAAGATGTATACCTGGGGCCTGTGATTAACTCTGTAAACTACATGGCCAAGGAACTCAGACTTAACCTTGGGTGTGGGGATGTAATTTTTTTCTTTACTCATCAGCTTGTTTTTCCACAGACAGAATTCATGGGTCTATAATGCACGAAACTTCTTTGTTCTTATTTTCCATTTTCTGCAACTCTCACATCTAACAAAGGGAAGATGACTTTTAGCCTATTTTTTGTCTGTTTTGTATTATTATTGGAGCGATTGGCAGAATAACCTACACCATTTCCCCAATCATCTTCATTAACTGTCTTAACCACCTGTATGGTTCAAGCCCTTTGTCTACATTTGTACTTTAACACACGCTATCCTTATACCCAGTCTAATGTCTGCTTTGCCAGTTTCCTCTCATATGTTGATTACTATATCTTCAATTACTTTTTCCTTAAGTAGTTTCTGGCATACATTTAATCACTTAATATTCCCTATGTTCTCTAAATATTTTTTACTTTTTACTTTCAACTCTTTATCTAGATTGTCTTTCTCAATGCGCTGTTTGTTTTATTAAGAGTTATATGCTGGCATTCAGTACTGAGGGGGCATGTATCAGTTCTCAGGACATATTTATTGATGTGGATGGGAGGTATAGTTAATTCTGTCTGCCATTCTTTCCTACTGATGGCACAGCAGAGCTTCTTAAACACTTTTTATCTGAGAAATTTTTTTTCTGGCTAGAGAATAGAGGTATACAGAATACATATGAACTCAGACATTTACTCATAAAGAATTTTAAAACAATTCTTTGATATGCATATATAATTTTTTATCATTTATTAAAGACTAAAGAAAATTTGCATATTCACGAGATTGATATGCTTATTTCTTTTTATATAAAAAAATCAAATCTTGACTGAATATTTGATATGCTAGGAGAGCATCATCAACAGTTTCAAAGTTGTCTGATACTTTGTTTTGTTACAGTCATTATGGGTCTTCACAGAAATATTCAGTACAACATGACAAAAGTATATTAATGATCATTGCAGACATTGAAAATTCTGTTCTAGGGGCTGGAGAGATGGCTCAGAGGTTAAGAGCATTGCCTGCTCTTCCAAAGGTCCTGAGTTCAATTCCCAGCAACCACATGGTGGCTCACAACCATCTGTAANTACATAATAAATAAATATTTAAAAAAAAAAGAAAAAGAAAATTCTGTTCTAATCCCAAACCAAAATTCACTTAATAATTTTTCAAATGAAATTGAAACAACAAGTTAAAAGAAATCAAAACAGTCTATAGTAAATACAATCTAAAGATACACTAATTTGATATTTACTGGCTGAGGGATAATGGTAGGAAATATTAAAAATTGTTGTTTTCTGTATTTAAACCGTTATGTTTTTATAAGAGCAGGAGATTATATGTACAGTAAAAGACACTGCGGTCCATTGCATGCAGCCATCTGAGATCTCAGCTGAGATATTTCAAGAAGCATTCATTGCCTTCATGTTCGGGGAGGGCAGGCGCAATGCAAATTGTGCATGTTATTATGTTCAGAAGCAAGGCTACAGTGAAGTCACCTACTGCTGGGGACTGCCAAGAATGCCTTGGAATGATTGATGCATTAGATTTTGAATTAACAGTTATGCATTCAGAAACCTTTTTTGGTACCAAACTTTTCATGACCTGGACATTCAATTTTGTACTCCTATATGGGGCATAAGGAACTGATTGAGAACTCATAAATGTGTAGAGACTAATCTTGACATGCCTTATTCAGTAGGATTTTGAGAGCATATTGATATGATTCTTAACTGACAGTGAAAACATCTGGCTCTTTTTTTTTTTTTTTTTTTTTTCCCAAATCATTTCTCTATGTAGCCCTGGCTGTCCTGGAACTAAATGTAGACCAGGCTAACCTGAACTCAGACATTTGTCTGCTTTGCCTCCCAAGTGCTAGGATTACAGGCCTGTATCATCAATCCTGGCCTGATAATTGGCTTCTTGATTTGATTTTCTTACATTGTGTCAAAGAAAAATCATTTCTTGGTGTGTATGCAATGCAGGGCTTGGTAAGCCTCTTATTTTTGTGTTGTCTCTAAAAATACTTGGTTGAATACAACCTATATACTCAACTCACAGTAGTCGTAGCATTACCCCTGCTTGTTAAAATAATTATTCACCTTATGTATTTTATTTTATGTGTATGAGCATTTTGCTCAGATGTTTGTGCAGCATCTGCATGGGGTGACTGGTGCTCATCACCTCCCTGCTCTGAAGGATTCTGAGTCTGTCTCATCTTATTTGTGACTCATAAACTTGCCGTTTGTGGCACCACTGTCAGTGAATCTGAGCGGATATTTACCTTCTCTTTATTTATTTATTCTCAAATTGATATTTCTCAAAGCATCAATCTTGGGAGATTGTACAGAATAAGGAAACTAGAGTATTGTTGATAGAATTTGCGAGGCTTTAAGCGTAATTTCCTAGGCTGGAACTAGGACTGATTTCTGTAGAATTAGAGTTAGTAGCAGGAAGAGAATGGTAGGAGAGAATTATAGGTAGGGATACAATGAACAAAACCAGAGGCGTGAACTGTAAAAACACTTGGTTGTTATTGGACATTTTTCTAATGTATCTTTAAATATAATGTACCAGGAAGGCATGTTGTACTATTTCATAGCAACAAAATAGTTGTTGAAATATTTTTCTTTAAGAAAACACTTTAGAGACTCTAATTAGGTAATTATTTTCCCAACTATTATGAAAAAGCTTAAACATAAAAAATAATGACAAAATAGAAGTATTTCGTTATTCTTCAGTGCTGGAGAGATAGCTAGCTCAGCTGTTGAGAGTGTGTGCTGCTCTTAGAGAGGACCTAAGTTCAGTTCCCAGCATACACATTGGACAATGCACAAACCACCTGGAACTCCGGGTGTATGGGATCTGATGCCCTCTTCTGGCATCTGAGTGTACCTGCACATGCTCACATTCTTAGGTAGTCTCTTCAACTGTACACACACACACACATACAGCTTTTTTTTCCAGTTGCCATTACTTATGCCAAAATTTCTCATCCATTCTTTTCACTGAAACTGTAAGTGAGCATGAGACTGCTTTTGTCTTTGGGCCCAGGCAGACTACAACTTTAGGGTTTGGTTGCTTTAGGAGAATAATAATGCTTTTGCCTCTTCAATGAGAAGCCCATTGTTTCTATCTGATGATTGTTTTTTGAGGCAACAAAAAAACAAGGTAGTTAAGAATTGAGATCCACACTCTACCATTATCAGCTGTACTTCTCAGAAGCCTGATTTCTCCTATTAAAAGGGAAATTGGAAAGTCTAAATATTGGGGTGCTGTGTGAAAGCTCTTTTGCTCTGTCAGTGGCATTTATGAGGAACTTCATGAATGGGAGTGTTTCCTTCTAGGTCTGTAATCATGTTTCTTGAAATAAATTTTTTAAACAAAAATTTCTGTTTCTTGATTTTGTGCATCCTTAGAACTTTGAAATTTTATTTGATAAATATCTAGTGTCTGTCTGGGCATGGTGGCACACACCTTTTAATCCCAGCAGTGGGAGGCAGAGTCAGGTGGATGGTCTACATAGTGAGTTTAAGGGCAGCCTGGGCTATGTAGAGAGACCCTTTCTTTTAAAAACCAAACCTTATATATTTAGAAAAACTCAAGTCTTGTAAAATGTCATTTTGTACTTCTAGACGGTTTTATGAGTTTGGAAGAGTGAGCTTTACTTAGTACAGAAATAATGTCTGTTGCTTAGATTCCCCCTTTAGTATCTTTCACAGAATTGTTTATGTAATAAATAGTCAATTGACATTTTTTTCTTATTTATACAGATAGTGCACATCCTAAATATGACTTCTGCGAAAATCGTTTCTTTTCTGTTGCCATGTGATGAAAGTTTTCATTCACTGCAGTCTCGTATTGAGCGTGAAACGGGAATCAATACCGCTTCCCAAGAGCTTCTGTCTGAGACAGGGATTTCTCTGGATCCTCGGAAACCAGCCTCTCAATGTGTTCTCGATGGAGTTGTAAGAAAGTTTGTGTATGGGGGGAGGGCTGTGGACCAGGGTCTTGCTATATAGCCTCTAACTCACAGTCTTCCTGCCTAAGGGAACTGGAATCCCAGGCCTGAACTACCTGCACAGGTTTTTGTTTGGTTTTCAGTTGACTAATATTTGTACTTCTTTATGGAGTGCTGTCTAGTGATTCAATACATGTGTACCCTGTGTAATGATTAAACTAAAATAAGCACTTTCATCCCCTGTTACCATGTCTGTGCGTTAAAACCTGCAAACTCTTTTCCTTTACTTATGTTAAAATATATAGCTATTTTATATATACTGTAGTTTCCCTGTTGTGCTGTAGAAACTGTGGCTAAAAGCTAGATGCATACACACACAGCTGGATGTAGTGGTGCATACCTTTAATTCCCTGCATTTATGAACTTAAGGCCAGCCTGGTCTACATAGTGGATTCGAGGCCAGCCAGAGCTATGTAGAGAGCCTGTCTCAAAAAAAGTTTCTTATTATAACTTTTGGTTTCTTTCTTATTATAGATGCATATATTGCATGCTATATAATCTTAATCAGTATAAAATATTTCTGTTCCTCATGTCTCTGTTAGCTTTTATATTTCCATTCTACTCATCCTGTCTCTGTCAGTTTGCATGCATATATGTGTATGGCTATGTGTTCGTGTGGGTGCATATGCTTATAAGGGTGTACGTGTACATATGTGCATATGTGCCTATGGAGGTCAAAGTGACCTCAGTCACTATTCCTCAATATCAGTCATCTTTTTTGTTTGAGAAAGGCTATCTAATGGGCCAGGAACTTATTGATTAGGCTAAGGGTAGAGTCATGAGAACTGTTTTTTTTTTGTTTTTTTTTTTTAAATGTGGATTCTGGAGATTGTACTTGAGTCTCCTTGCTTGTATAACAAATGTTTTATGATGAACTGTTTCCCTGATTCTAGCACTATGTTTGAATGTTACCAGTGTATGAGGGCACATAAGCACTTTGTTTCATTTCTGTTGGGCCTGTTGAGAAGCCCAGACTGGCCCCTCACCTGTTGTAGTAGGCTGCTAGTTCATTTCCTGACTGCCCAGCAACTCAGATCCGAAATAATCACACAGAAACTATATTATTTGCAATACTATTTAGCCAATAGCTTAAGTGTGTTTCTGGCTAACTCTTACAACTTAAATTAGTCCATCTCCATTAATCTGTGTATCGCCACATGCCTCTGGCTTACTGGGTAAAGTTCCATCCCCAGTGTCTGACTCTGGTGTTTTCTCACTTGACTCCGCCTTCTTTCTCCCAGCATTCAGTTTAGTTTTCTCTGCCTAGCTCTACTCTACCTATCACAGACCAAGGCAGATTTCTTTATTAACCAATTCTTCACAGCATTCAGAGGGGAATCCCACATCACTCACCCTACCCTATACTCTGGTACCTAATCTTTTCCTTTTTATTACTACAGAGTAATTTACTAATACGACCTTTTGTATTTGTTCTTTTGGCTTTTAATTGCTAACACTAGAAAAACTTTATTATTTTCTGCTTTTCCTAAATTTTTAAGTTAGCAGACAAAATAATGGGTTTTGTTATGGCATTTTTATGCATGTATATTCACCATAGTTCCCTTATTCTTCCCTCGTCCATCTTGCCCTTCTTTTGCTGGTCTTCCTCTCCCCAAACAGTTCTCTCTCCTGCTTCCTGTCACATGAACCCCAATACCCCCTTTGCACACCTGCTGTGGCCCCATGTATCTTTTTACTGTTAGGCCCCACATCTGTAAGTTATATGTGAATGCACATTGACGTTCATTGCATTTCAAAGAAGGAAGTCTGGCACTCAAGTATTTCTAAAATCTCGCGTTTTCAAGAATCATTGAAGTTTAATTGTTTCCTTTTTCAGAGAGGCTGTGATAGCTACATGGTTTATTTGTTTGATAAAAGTAAGACTGTATATGAAGGACCATTTGCATCCAGAAGTTTATCTGATTGTGTAAATTATATTGGTAAGTAAAGTTTAGTTAGCAGCTGAACTTTAATATTGAAATTAGATGATTAGTAAATATGATCTTTTAGTGGTTTCTGTATGTGGTGAAAATGAATTTAATGAAGTCTGGAAGATGTAAAGATAGATTTTAAATTACCATTAGATCCTTCACTTGGGAGAGTCCTTCCTGAGGGTAGGACTCTACAGATAGACGAATGAAAGCCCACTTATAAATTAAACCCACTTATTAATTGTTCCTTCATTATATGTGTTCAGATATTTACACACAGCTTATCCTGTAAATTTCATGAAGCTGAGCATAGATACTTTTCAGAAACAGAAAAGACTGGTGAACTATAGAGAAGACAGAACTTGATCCAAAGCTTGAAAGAAGTAAAGAATTTGGGGATTAGTAGAGAGAAAGGAGTATTCTTGACTAGAATGATGCAAGTTTAAAAGAAAAACATGCAGGAGTAATCTCAAGCTCTTTAAGAGAAGTGGTTATATCATTCATATTAAAACCCGTATAGCTAGAGCCAGGCAATAGGTTCTTTTTAACATCTATGGGAACAGTATTTGGAAAGGAAGATAAATGTCTTTGAAAGTAGCTTATCTCCCTTATTACTATTTTGTTTATAGTTCAAGACAGCAAGATACAGCTTCCAATTATACAGCTGCGTAAAGTATGGGCTGAAGCAGTGCACTATGTATCTGGGCTAAAAGAAGACTACAGCAGGCTTTTTCAGGGACAAAGAGCAGCAATGTAAGTGGGTTCTGGTTTTGTTTTCGTTTTGGTTTTTTAAATAATGCTATGTGTATTGTGTACAAGGCTAAACACTGAACATTTTTTGAAATGTAGTACTTTTTAATAATGTGTTTATATGCATGTGAATGGATGCACAGGTAGAAGCCAGGGGTTGATGTTGGCTATCTTTCCATTATTGTTTTCCCACCTAATTTTTGAGGTATGATCTCTTACTAAACCTGGAGCTCACTATTTCAGCTAGACCTAATGGCCCATGAGCTCCTAGGATCTGCCTGTTTCCCCATGCCTCCGAGCACTGTGTGACGAGCATACACGGCCATGTACCATACTGAGGTCCTCGTGCATGCAAGGCAAGCATTTGGTCTACTTGGCCATCACCCTACAATGAAATGCAGTGTTCTGACCAGACTTACAGATTTCTTATTAATAGTCTAAAATTATTTCAGCCATCATGTCTTGAAAATACTCGTTCCTGAGTGACCTTAGTAGAAGATTATTTACACAGGCAGGAAGTAGGTCAACTGTTTCTCATGATTTTATAGTAAAAACTTAAGTTTTGAAGTTTGGATACTGTATGTTTGCAAATTGTCATTCAATGTTTCTGAATGTTGATAATTTTGTTTTGTTTTGCTATGGCTTAGGTTAAGTCTTCTTAGATATAATGCTAACTTGACAAAAATGAAGAATACTTTGATCTCAGCATCACAACAACTCAAAGCTAAATTGGAGTTTTTTCACAAAAGCATTCAGCTTGACTTGGAGAGATATAGTGAGCAGATGACTTATGGGATATGTAAGTGTCTGGCTATAATGTATTTGTAAGGAATGTCTAGTTTATCTTGTTGACCCATAGCCAGTAATTTAAATTCACACCAGAATAATACACAGGATAACTTAAATTGTCAAACTGTTTTTGTTTTGAGGATTAGCTCTTTTAATCCCGTAGTTGATCAGCTATTTCATAATTATAATAAAATTACTTAACTCTAGAAAAACTAAATAATAGACGTGACTTAAAGACTGTGAATTTCAAGTCTTATTTTAAAAATGCATACAGAGTCTATACTGATGATTTCTTAGCCAGTATGTACTGAAATGTGTGCTTCCTCCCAGTTTGTATGTTGAAATTCTGATCCTTAAGATAGTGGTAAGACCCTTGGGAAATGATTAAGTCATGATGAACCTAACTAGAGGCCTGGGTGAGAGTCCCTCACCCTTTCTGCCATACGGGGACAAATATGGCAGCCATCTATGAACCAGAACTTGATTTTGGATTTCTCAGACTTCATAACTATGAGAAATGAATTTCCATTGTTTATTTACCACCTTGCATATATTTGTTTTTGTTTTTTTTTATTTTGTTCTCGCATTGTAGCAACTCAAATGGAATAACACAGCCAGAGGGGTCTTAAATTATTTGTCTTTTTGTAAAAAACACAGACAATTCCAGGATTATGTTATCTTTTTTCTAATCCATCTGCTGTGGAGTTATAGCTACTTCTTTTTATTTTTTTAATTGTACATAGTCTCCTGACTCCAGACTTATCTCCCTTCGGATGTGTTAAGGATTTGTGAAGAGTTAAAATTCAAATAAACTCAATTATGTGCTGCTTGAAACATCTTTTTAAAGAAGTAGATACTGTTTATATATGTACTTGCAAAAGGTGTGGATACCTCAGAATAAGTGATCAGAGTGTCCCGTTAATGAATGTTTACTCTCTAGTGCTATTTCTATATTTGCATATTATAGGCATTATGGCCAATGACAATTATTTCACTAAAGTATCTTTGACTAGTCAGAGGCATACTGTGCAGTTGTCAACACAGTGAAATAGATCTATGTGTGCTAATATTAAAATATCAGTGTAATATTTGGCAGTGACTGTCTTAGTTACTTTTCTATTGCTGTAGAGAGACACCTTGAACAAGGCAACTTATAAAAAAAACCATTTAATTTGGTGCTTGTTTACAGTTTCAAAGGGTGAATCCATGGCCATCGTAGTGGGAAGCATGGTGACTGGCAGGCAGGCAGGCATGGCTCCAGAGCAGTAGCTGAGTGCTTACATTTGATCCATAGGCAGGAGGTGGAGAGAGAGAGCAAGTCTCGACCTCACATGGACAATTGAAACATCTAAGTCCACTCCCACTGACAAGTCTTCCCAAAGGGCCACACCTACTAATCCTTCCTAAACAGTTCCTACTGGAAACCAAGCATTCAGCTAGGAAAAGCATGTATATATAGACTGTCTTACGTAAGTGAGAATAGAGAATATGTCTTCTAACAATTGAATTAGTGAGAACACTTGGAATAGAGGGGAGAATCTTTTCTTTTTTTTTAATTTATTTATTTCTTTATTAATTAATTAAAGATTTCTGTCTCTTCCCCACCGCCGCCTCCCCTTTCCCTCCCCCGAATCTTTTCTTTT